GTGTGTGTGTGTGTGTGTGTGTGTGTGTGTGTGTGTATAGATGGGAAAAAAACTAATACTAGTCCTACTAATATAAGTAAATAGCCTCAAACAATTATTGAAGACAAGTAAACAGTCAGTAATACAATAAAAGAAAGATTACAGGTAATAATGTTGTAAATAATGTTCAGTTTCTTGCACAGACTAATCATTTCACTTCATAAGACCTCAAAATATTGTCAGGGGCCATGGGTATTAATTTTGTGTTCCTTGATATGCTTTTTTTTAATTCTCAAAAACCAGCAGCCGCTGACTTGCATTTTATGAATCAACAAGGACCACAGTTTCATCTAAAAATCTTTACTGTTCTACTTAAGAAAAACATTCACCTACATCTCGGATGGCCTGAGAGTAAATTGACAGCAATTTTTTTTGGGTGAACTATCCCTTTAAATCCGACTGTATATATTGGAACATGTAGAAACACATTTCTCTAATATCCAGGAATTATTGATGATAATCAATCAGGTGAGTTTTTGACTTTTTGTATATTAAAAACTTGAGAAGAGAACAATACTCACTCAACTTTCACCACCTGCTTGATCTCTGGTTTGACATATCCATCCCCCACTGCTTTTGCTGAAAAAACAAAATCATGTTCATTAAAGATTGTTAATAGAAACTCTTTAACACTTTAATTCACAAGAACCAAAGCATCCATATATTAAACTCTGTCATTAAGCCTCTGTTAAGCTTGAGTGGATTCTGACTAAATTAAAAAACATTTATTTTACACGCAAAGCAGATATGTCTGTTACTGGTTATCTACACCAGTTACACAAATGACCTACATTGAATTCTAAAAACCTTTGTTGCTGAAAGGTGACAAGTTTGCATCCCTGAAAGTTGGGAAACACTATGCTAACTAACTGTAACTATGCTAACAATGAAGCATACAATCATTTGATGATATTTCTGTCTGCAAGAGAAACATGCATACAGTTTGGAGGTGTGCAGTAACGGGAGAAGACTTCCTCTTTCGGCTGGTTGGGATAGAGAAAGAGCAGATGATTCAGATCACTGATCCGATCGGCCAGAGAGCGGATAGAGAAATCTTTAGTAGTGAAGGGCATCAGGTTCCACACCATCCGTTCTCCTGCATAATGAAACACACATACTCAGAATCAGGGTTGGGCAGAGATACATCAAAATGTATTTTAAAATAAAATACCAAATACCTTCATTTTAAGTGTATCAAAATAAACTACAAAATACAGCAGCCCCACCATATATCAAAATAAACTACTGTATTTTTGTATTTTAAAAATACAAAAAAAATACTTTTACAAGGGAGCATGAAATTTCTTCGCAAACCTTCCATCAATTGGCCTATTTGATCGATCCCTTCACCATTGCACTGACTCAGATGATTTAGTAAACAGTGTCTGATAGCAACAGCTTTTCTCTGCCCGAGTCATGCAATAAATCTGACATATACGATCAGTTAACAGATCAAGTATTCACATATACCAGACGAAGGTTAGTTTTAAAGTAACCAACAGTTTAATGTTTAACAGTTTGCGAATGACTCATAACTGTATCCTAATTTAGTTACTTGGTGTTTGGTAACGAAGGGCCTACTTTGCATCAGCAACACTGATTTAATGACAAACATTAACTGTGGGTGTGTGTGTGTGTGTGTGTGTGTGTGTGAGAGAGAGGGAGTGTATTGAATGTGTGTGTGTGTAGCCTGTGGACTACATTGCAGAGGTCTCTTTAGCTACTGATGCCTTTAAGCACAATTTTTTCAAAAAGTGTAGCATTTAGGCATCGCCGATGGGGCCGGTTGATCAGTCAAGCAAAGGAAAATAAATGCTCTACTGGAGCTGAGGATGGGATGATCATGTTAAACCTCACAAAAAAGGTGCTTGGGGATACTGGGGATACTGCTCCAAAGATGTCAAATCCCTCCTTTTGACAGTCAATGAGCACGTTTTCATGCACACCAGTAAGCTGATAACTCACAAATATCAGCTTATTAAAATAACCCCCATTTACATGCACATCAGTATCCTTACAACGCAAGTAAGCTGTGTTTACATGACTTCATTAATAAATCAGGTTATTTCCCTGTAGTGATGCCAAAATATAATCATTTGCATATCTGACTCCGAGTATTCCATACATTTGTCAGTTGTGATGTTAAATTAAGCTTGCAACATGTCAACTTGCAACATGTCGGGAAACTTACTGCTAATATATTATCCTCTCATGCAGTTATAAACGCAGCATTGTGACTGAACCACTTCTACTTCTGCTGCACGAGATGAGAACACATTTTTATAATTTTGTGAGTCATGAAAAAGTCTGCTTTTGTGATATATTTCCTTCTTTCTTTACTGCAAGACGTTTGCTCGGTCTAGATGCGCTTAAATCTGCACTAACGATGCGTTTCTGTCATGTATCACACATGCGCACTTCAATAAGCCGACAGAAAGCGGGTTATTGCGTTTACATGCCATGCGAAATCGGAGTAAGAGGCAAAAAACTACCTGTTGTGACCGGTTTATGCTTAGGCCGTTTATGACCTTACTCCGATAAAATAAAACGGGTTACCGCGTTTATATGACCAAGTGCGTTTTCGGTTTATTAAGCATAATCGGCTTAAGACCGTGTATGTAAATGCGCTCATTGAGATCTCGCAAAGGAACGAAACTGACTGCAATTGAGATCTACTAAAGGATTTTACGAATATATGCTTATTCTGTGCAATATATACTTTTTTGTGTCAACTAAATGTTTTTCGTCAAATTGTCCTTCAACCTTGTACTGGCGCTTTAAGCTCGAGCTGCTGAGCAGCACAGTGCGGTGTATCAGGCGTCTTTCGTTAACATTCACGCCGATGTGTATGGCGTTCGGACGGATTCTTTAATATGACGTTGCAACATGCACTCGTCTCACTGAACGTGACGTCTGCGTCTGCCACATTACTGTTCGTCTGCCTGAACGTGACGTCTTCGTGACATCTGCGTCTACCACATGTTCGTCTGCCTGAACATGAGGTCTGCAAGGGTTTCCAGCACATTCCATACACTTATTTGTGCTTTATTATACCTATTCATTCTCTATTATTGTTTTCACTTATCCTCAATTATGTTTAATTAGCAATTAAGTGCTTTTTACCTTCCTTATGTATAGCTTTTTATTCCAAAAAGTAAATATTTATACAAATGATATAAAAAATTCTGTATGACATTGCTTCTTGTCCACATATCCACAGATACTTATGAAGAAATCATAAAAATAAGTTGTTCTAGCTTGTATTCACCACTAGGAGTCTCTAGACCAACACAAAAGAATGCATTTTTAAACATTGCTATATTTTGGGCTAATTTAACGAACATAAACAATATTTGTCATTTTTTATTTTAGTTTTATAGTTTAATATATAGAATAAAAAGTGTTTTTACGCTCTTTAATATGTACTGCGATAATTCGGCAGTAGTGGCACATGAATCAATGATAGTTTCCTCTTTAATATTTGCAGCAAGAAATAAACATGAATATTTGAATGCATGTTAAAAAAATCTGAACAATTTAATACAAACATAATGAATGTCTCATGAAATCGATCAATCAGAGTTTAAAAAAAGTGGCACTAATGCCGCTGTAGGCTATCTGTACTGAATGCAAACACAATTTTGGCACAGCGGCCAAAAAAACAAACAAACGACAACAAAAAAAGTAAAAAATAAAAAGGTAAAAAATAAATAAATAAAAATAATAATAAAAAATAGTGAGGGGATATTTGAATTATTTGTTAATAAACTAGTGTTTTCTGAGTCAGTGTCACAAAGATGAAGCTGCTGATCCTGACTCGCCATCTCCTTAACTGGACGCGCATTTAGAGAGAAATTACATAATGAAAGAGTTTTTGTTTTCGATTTGAATTATTTAGTTTTAAAGTAGTAATTTAAAGCATTTTATAGATATGTTTATCATGTATATGAGGCAAGTATTCGCTGAGTTTCGGTTCATTTTTGTGAAAAAAAAAGTCAGACGCAGACGTCACGTCCATTGAGAGGAATGAATGAAGGGCAAGGTAATTATGCATTGGCTGACACACTGCACTGAGCCGTGTGAGCAGCGTGTTATGATACGTGTTAGTAAATTTTTTTTTTTAACTTCACTGCTACACATGAATCACACGTGTGACGTCTGGCTCGACACTTCACTGCCACACGTGATTTACGTGACGTCTGCGTGACGTCTACGCCTCGTCTGCGTCTTAAAATGAATGGATTAAATAGCAAAATAAAAATTAAAAATTAAGATGTCAATGAGACGTTCAGTGAGACGAGTGCATGTTGCAACGTCATATTAAAGAATCCGTCCGAACGCCATAGATGTGCGGTGCGGTGTGAAACAGGTTTTGCAATGCAGCTCTACTATGCTCTTTCACACGCGGTCATATCCGTGTCTCCGAGTGGCTCACAGTAAATGCTGCTGCTCCACGCGAGTTTAGACCATTACACCAATATCGTGGCATTAAAATGTAATGTTGTACAACACTGAAACGCTGTATTATTATTTTTTTCGTGTACAACCGACGAACTTAACATAGGCTGAAAGTAGCAAGCTAACGTTAATTGTGGGGCTTCTGCTCGGTAATTATTTAGCCTAGGCTACTAAAATGAACACAAACTTAACATGAACTGTTAAGAATTATAGCAATTTATGCAAAAAAATTGATGGAAAGCTGGCAGCCTGCACGTTTCTTACCTTGACCAACTTCTTCCATATGCATCAATTTTCTGTTCTGATCTCAACAAGTCTGGGCAAACTAGCCTATTGAGCAGGCACCCATCAGAGGCCGCATTTTAATGATTTAAAACTACAAAAATACAAAACACTAAAGTATTTTGATACAAAATACGAAGCCATTTTCATCAACCCTATCAAATACAAATTACAAAATACTATTTTGTATTTGAAATACGTATTTGAAATACATGTATCATAAATACTGCCCATCCCTGCTCAGAATGACGGCTGCTGAGTAAAGTCAAGCATTTCTGTTCAGCTTGGACCCACGTTTGGCTGAATGCATCCGAGTTCTCATTAGTATTGTCTTCACTAACCATTTAGAATCAGAATCAGAAGAGCTTTATTACCAAGTACATTTACACACACAAGAATGTCTCATGAAATCGATCAATCAGAGTTTAAAAAAAGTGGCACTAATGCCGCTGTAGGCTATCTGTACTGAATGCAAACACAATTTTGGCACAGCGGCCAAAAAAACAAACAAACGACAACAAAAAAAGTAAAAAATAAAAAGGTAAAAAATAAATAAATAAAAATAATAATAAAAAATAGTGAGGGGATATTTGAATTATTTGTTAATAAACTAGTGTTTTCTGAGTCAGTGTCACAAAGATGAAGCTGCTGATCCTGACTCGCCATCTCCTTAACTGGACGCGCATTTAGTACATAATGACATAATGAAAGAGTTTTTGTTTTCGATTTGAATTATTTAGTTTTAAAGTAGTAATTTAAAGCATTTTATTTATCATGTAATCATGTATATGAGGCAAGTATTCGCTGAGTTTCGGTTCATTTTTGTGAAAAAAAAAGTCAGACGCAGACGTCACGTCCATTGAGAGGAATGAATGAAGGGCAAGGTAATTATGCATTGGCTGACACACTGCACTGAGCCGTGTGAGCAGCGTGTTATGATACGTGTTAGTAAATTTTTTTTTTTAACTTCACTGCTACACATGAATCACACGTGTGACGTCTGGCTCGACACTTCACTGCCACACGTGATTTACGTGACGTCTGCGTGACGTCTACGCCTCGTCTGCGTCTTAAAATGAATGGATTAAATAGCAAAATAAAAATTAAAAATTAAGATGTCAATGAGACGTTCAGTGAGACGAGTGCATGTTGCAACGTCATATTAAAGAATCCGTCCGAACGCCATAGATGTGCGGTGCGGTGTGAAACAGGTTTTGCAATGCAGCTCTACTATGCTCTTTCACACGCGGTCATATCCGTGTCTCCGAGTGGCTCACAGTAAATGCTGCTGCTCCACGCGAGTTTAGACCATTACACCAATATCGTGGCATTAAAATGTAATGTTGTACAACACTGAAACGCTGTATTATTATTTTTTTCGTGTACAACCGACGAACTTAACATAGGCTGAAAGTAGCAAGCTAACGTTAATTGTGGGGCTTCTGCTCGGTAATTATTTAGCCTAGGCTACTAAAATGAACACAAACTTAACATGAACTGTTAAGAATTATAGCAATTTATGCAAAAAAATTGATGGAAAGCTGGCAGCCTGCACGTTTCTTACCTTGACCAACTTCTTCCATATGCATCAATTTTCTGTTCTGATCTCAACAAGTCTGGGCAAACTAGCCTATTGAGCAGGCACCCATCAGAGGCCGCATTTTAATGATTTAAAACTACAAAAATACAAAACACTAAAGTATTTTGATACAAAATACGAAGCCATTTTCATCAACCCTATCAAATACAAATTACAAAATACTATTTTGTATTTGAAATACGTATTTGAAATACATGTATCATAAATACTGCCCATCCCTGCTCAGAATGACGGCTGCTGAGTAAAGTCAAGCATTTCTGTTCAGCTTGGACCCACGTTTGGCTGAATGCATCCGAGTTCTCATTAGTATTGTCTTCACTAACCATTTAGAATCAGAATCAGAAGAGCTTTATTACCAAGTACATTTACACACACAAGGAATTTGACTTGATGACAGGAGCTTCCAGTGCAGAAGAAAGTACAGACATAGAGCAGACATACATGATAGTGCAGACATACATAGAAATAACACAGTAGGGATGGAATATAACACTAATGTAAGAAAAAAAACAGAAATTAAATAGAATGTCTCATGAAATCGATCAATCAGAGTTTAAAAAAAGTGGCACTAATGCCGCTGTAGGCTATCTGTACTGAATGCAAACACAATTTTGGCACAGCGGCCAAAAAAACAAACAAACGACAACAAAAAAAGTAAAAAATAAAAAGGTAAAAAATAAATAAATAAAAATAATAATAAAAAATAGTGAGGGGATATTTGAATTATTTGTTAATAAACTAGTGTTTTCTGAGTCAGTGTCACAAAGATGAAGCTGCTGATCCTGACTCGCCATCTCCTTAACTGGACGCGCATTTAGAGAGAAATTACATAATGAAAGAGTTTTTGTTTTCGATTTGAATTATTTAGTTTTAAAGTAGTAATTTAAAGCATTTTATAGATATGTTTATCATGTATATGAGGCAAGTATTCGCTGAGTTTCGGTTCATTTTTGTGAAAAAAAAAGTCAGACGCAGACGTCACGTCCATTGAGAGGAATGAATGAAGGGCAAGGTAATTATGCATTGGCTGACACACTGCACTGAGCCGTGTGAGCAGCGTGTTATGATACGTGTTAGTAAATTTTTTTTTTTAACTTCACTGCTACACATGAATCACACGTGTGACGTCTGGCTCGACACTTCACTGCCACACGTGATTTACGTGACGTCTGCGTGACGTCTACGCCTCGTCTGCGTCTTAAAATGAATGGATTAAATAGCAAAATAAAAATTAAAAATTAAGATGTCAATGAGACGTTCAGTGAGACGAGTGCATGTTGCAACGTCATATTAAAGAATCCGTCCGAACGCCATAGATGTGCGGTGCGGTGTGAAACAGGTTTTGCAATGCAGCTCTACTATGCTCTTTCACACGCGGTCATATCCGTGTCTCCGAGTGGCTCACAGTAAATGCTGCTGCTCCACGCGAGTTTAGACCATTACACCAATATCGTGGCATTAAAATGTAATGTTGTACAACACTGAAACGCTGTATTATTATTTTTTTCGTGTACAACCGACGAACTTAACATAGGCTGAAAGTAGCAAGCTAACGTTAATTGTGGGGCTTCTGCTCGGTAATTATTTAGCCTAGGCTACTAAAATGAACACAAACTTAACATGAACTGTTAAGAATTATAGCAATTTATGCAAAAAAATTGATGGAAAGCTGGCAGCCTGCACGTTTCTTACCTTGACCAACTTCTTCCATATGCATCAATTTTCTGTTCTGATCTCAACAAGTCTGGGCAAACTAGCCTATTGAGCAGGCACCCATCAGAGGCCGCATTTTAATGATTTAAAACTACAAAAATACAAAACACTAAAGTATTTTGATACAAAATACGAAGCCATTTTCATCAACCCTATCAAATACAAATTACAAAATACTATTTTGTATTTGAAATACGTATTTGAAATACATGTATCATAAATACTGCCCATCCCTGCTCAGAATGACGGCTGCTGAGTAAAGTCAAGCATTTCTGTTCAGCTTGGACCCACGTTTGGCTGAATGCATCCGAGTTCTCATTAGTATTGTCTTCACTAACCATTTAGAATCAGAATCAGAAGAGCTTTATTACCAAGTACATTTACACACACAAGGAATTTGACTTGATGACAGGAGCTTCCAGTGCAGAAGAAAGTACAGACATAGAGCAGACATACATGATAGTGCAGACATACATAGAAATAACACAGTAGGGATGGAATATAACACTAATGTAAGAAAAAAAACAGAAATTAAATAATGCACTATATACAGAAACAGAAGTATAGATAACAAATTTAATTGTTTAGATAAATGTACAGGTATGTTATAAGTGTGCAGATATGTTATTTACAAAGTGTGCAGTTTACAAGTGTACACATTTTGGATTCTGTTAGTCTGTTTTGAATTAGAGAACACATGCTGTACTTTTACACTATTATTATTTTATATGCATCTTTCATGTAAACACAGACATGCTTGTTTTCCTTCATCTCTTCTATTACAAACACAGCTTCTCTCTGCCAGCGCTGGAGAGCAGTGAGGTCAGCCGTAGCTCAGCATTGCTTGGAGGCCAGTGAAACCTTTTTGTCCAGTGAAAGCTTTCAGAACTGTCACACCTGCTTAGGCCTTTAGCACCACTACCACCAGCCTCCGTTGCCCTTTTCCCCTCAGCCCCGCTCAAGGTTAACACACTCTGTTGGTGCATGTCAGACTATGCAAACTCATAACGAAGTGCTGCTGACCGCTGTGGCCTTAGAGCTTGGCTAGCGTATATATTCCTCTCTTTTTCTTCCCTGCTGCTTTTGTGCTTTGCCTCACTCTTTCTCTTAACAAGGCCATTGTTTAAATTCACAGAGCCCAGGATAAATAGTTACAGTAGACTACACCATAAAAGACTTCACAGAGTTAATGTGGTGTGGCGTATTGCTATTTGCTAGCTAAAGCTATCATTAGCCTTAGTATATAAAAAAAAAAAATGTCATAGGCTATTGTTTATTTATTAATTATTTATAAATAAATGTATCGTTATTTATTCCTTGATGTTTCTTTGATATCTTCTTATTTTAAAAGATAATCAAGTGATTAACCCTCACTAAGTTAATTGTAGATTGGAACAATCAAAATTTGCTAACTAAAGCTGTCATTTGCTTTAGCATATAAAAATAAATGTCACAAGCTATTATTTAGTTACTTCTATTACTTTATAATGCTATTTGTTTGTTTATTTCCCTGATGTTTCTTTTACATATAATTTAAAAAAGTTTGAATATGATCAGGTGAGTTGTTTTGTATCTAATTTTGTTCCCTTCAAATTTCTTTCTCATCTTCTCAGCACCTGCTAGCAGGAAACGTATGATAAAACATCTTGTGACATGAGGCAAACACTTGAAATTTCTTTCAGAATCTGGTGTAGCAACACATTTAACAAATCCCTTCGCCCAGTCTGAGGTCCTGAGCACTTTGGAGAAGGTTTTCGTCCAGGATATCCCTGTGCTTGGCCGCATTCATCTTTCCCTCATTTGCAACCAGTTGTCCTGTCCCTGCAGCTGAAAAACACCCCCACAGCATGATGCTGCCACCACCATGCTTCATTGTTGGGACTGTATTGGACAGGTGATGAGCAGTGCCTGGTTTTCTCCACACATACCGCTTAGAATTAAGGCCAAAAAGTTCTATCTTGGCCTCATCCGACCAGATAATCTTATTTCTCACCATCTTGGAGTCCTTCAGGTGTTTTTTCATGTGTCTTGCACTGAGGAGAGGCTTCCGTCGGGCCACTCTGCCATAAAGCCCCGACTGGTGGAGGGCTGCAGTGATGGTTGACTTTCTACAACTTTCTTCCATCTCCCGACTGCATCTCTGGAGCTTAGCCACAGTGATCTTTGGGTTCTTCTTTACCTCTCTCACCAAGGCTCTTGTCCCCTGATAGCTCAGTTTGGCCGGACGGCCAGCTCTAGGAAGGGTTCTGGTCATCCCAAACGTCTTCCATTTATGGATTATGGAGGCCACTGTGCTCTTGGGAACCTTAAGTGCAGCAGACATTTTTTTGTAACCTTGGCCAGATCTGTGCCTTGCCACAATTCTGTCTCTGAGCTCTTCAGGCAGTTCCTTTGACCTCATGATTCTCATTTGCTCTGACATGCACTGTGAGCTGTAAGGTCTTATATAGACAGGTGTGTGGCTTTCCTAATCAAGTCCAATCAGTATAATCAAACACAGCTGGACTCAAATGAAGGTGTAGAACCATCTCAAGGATGATCAGAAGAAATGGACAGCACCTGAGTTAAATATATGAGTGTCACAGCAAAGGGTCTGAATATTTAGGACCATGTGATATTTCAGTTTTTCTTTTTTAATAAATCTGCAAAAATGTCAACAATTCTGTGTTTTTCTGTCAATATGGGGTGCTGTGTGTACATTAATGAGGAAAAAAAATGAACTTAAATGATTTTAGCAAATGGCTGCAATATAACAAAGAGTGAAAAATTTAAGGGGGTCTGAATACTTTCCGTACCCACTGTATATACAGAAATAGAAGTATAGATAAAAAATGTAATTGTTTAGATAAATGTACAGATATGTTATAAGTGTGCAGATAACATATCTGTACATTTACTGTGCTCCTTACCTGCTTTGTTCGGGTTTTCTGCGACCCATGCGATGGTGATGCCTCCGATCTCAGAGTCGCTAAAGCGCAGAAGGAACGTGCCGTTTGGTTTGGACATCAACATATCCAGAGCTTGCTGCTTGTTCAGGAAACCCAGAATCGCTCTGCAGATAAACATACAACCTTTTACCAATTGTTCTCTTATTAGTGTGCGAAGTGTGCTGAATCAGTCTTTACCCATCATTCCAGTGAGACTTCAGGTGTTTCTTCATGAGCTCAATGACCCCATCAAACCACTGCCAGAATGTGAAGTTCCTGCCTGGCAAACTTTCCTGTCAAAACAAAAACACCCAAGTCTGGATCCTGAGACTGGATATATTGCAGTCATTTCAAATGTTCGGTTGCTTTTCTTCTTTTATAACATTGGATGTTCTGAGGAAAAAAACTAAAGTAATGGCTCTGAAGGGAGACAATGTAAAATAGGATTAGTTGCTGCACATTAGTGTTGGGAAGTCCAAGTTATTATTTATGTTTGCATCACATATTCTGTGTTTATGTCATGGTGTAATTACATGTTCCCAGACACACAGTATAACATATAAAATGTAATGCATGCCTCTAAAATGAAATTCTTTTAAATTAAACTAGCAACATGCTCATTTAGTCTCATGATAACAAAAGGATGCATCAGTCAGTTTAACCGATTCAGTCTAATTTGTTAACAAAGCGTACAGTCTGATTTCAACTCAAAGAACAACATCTTTAGGTGATAAGAGCACTGATGTTCAGTTTGGCTATTAGTGATGGTTACCCTATTGAACTGAGACCAGGTGATGGTCATGTTGCAGTAGTCCTCAGTGTTGTTGCTGGAGCTGCTGAAGGCTTTCTGAGCGAGAAACACCAGATTGTCTTCTGACAGGCCTCTGTCGCTCTGAACCTCCGATTTATATTTCATGTTCAAAGCTTCGCACAGCTGTGGCCACAGCACTTTATCAGGCACCACAAATGGCACTCGACCCTAAGGAGAAATCATGAAGAACCAAATGAGCACAAGTGTGTACTGTACTGCTGTGAATGTTGTAGTACACTGCAAGCACAAAATGTTTTCAGGACATTTCACATTGTTGCATTTTGGTTGTTTAACGAACTTAGGGTTTGGCAATTAATTTGAATTTAATGTTGTGCCACGATTTTATTTTTTATAAATCGAGGAATCATGATACTGAATAGAAATATTACTAAACGTTAGAATTAGACACTTTGACAATATTCCGATGTTAACAGTAAAGAGAAAAGAATGATCCAACCGCATGTCGGCGCACATGATTAACCGCTCACGTGCGACGCGCTCTGTGAAGGACCATAGGGTGCTCAGAATGCGCTTTTGTGTTGACAAAGATGTGACGCAGGCAGTGGAATAGGAAAAAATGCAGGAAGATGGGAGTTGAACTTCTTTTAACTTGAGCGCCGGGTTTTAAGAATGCCGTTTCAGGCACGAGATGCTGTCAGAGACATAAGCACAACAGTCAAACGCGTCCATGATCACATAGAAAAAACAGTGGAAAAGCAGCGCAATCGAATATAAACCTGTAAAGAACTACTAGTGTATGTTCGAAATTTCATGCTTGCATCATGGTGACAGGCTGCTATTCATGGTTTTTACAGAACATTCATAGCCTAATTAATAATAGTCTACTGGTGTTATACCTTAAGTAATTTAGAATTTGAATTACCTTGACTTTTGAGGTTTTTTTAAAAGTATTTTCCTTGTATTATTTCTGAACATATGTGAACATGGACCACAAAACCAGTCTTTAGTTGAATGGGTATATTTGTAGCAATAGCCAAAAATACATTGTATGGGTCAAAATGATCGATTTTTCTTCTATGCCAAAAATCAATAGGATATTAAGTAAAGATCATGTTCCATGAAGATATTTTGTAAATTTCCTACCATAAATATATCAAAATTTCATTTTTGATTAGTAATATGCATTGCTAAGAACTTCATTTAGACAACTTTAAAGGCTATTTTCTCAACATTTAGCTTTTTTTGCACCCTCAGATTCCAGATGTTCAAATTGTTGTATCTCGGACAAATATTGTCCTATCCTAACAACCCATATATCAATGGAAAGCTTATTTATTCAGTTTTTACATTATGTATATATCTCAATTTTGAAAAATTGACACTTAAGACTGGTTTTGTGGTCCAGGGTCACATATAACATGTATAAGACAAGTTTGTAGAAGATGTAGTTGTAGTACATGCATCTTTTTTGCAAGATATTTAACGTTAACAAGAGATTTGCTTAACATTTACATCATTCTGACAACTTCATGTGTGGTGCATTTAAAATAGAAATTTCTTTAACTAGAGGGTTAATAAAAAAAAAGTTACTTGAATCATGTTGTAGTTACATTTTCAAGTTGACTAGTTAAAAATCGAGAATCGGTCAAACGTTCTGGAAAAATGTAGATTAAATTTTTTTGCCATATCGCCCAGCCCTAAACGAACTTAAACATTCTGGACCCTGTTAAGAGAGTGGTGTATACGCCAATCCCAATCAAGCAACATCAGTTTATAATATAAATGAAGATAACATGTTCATAAGTAGAGCCCGACCGATATATCGTTTTGCCAATATTATCGGCCGATATGAGAACCGGAACCGCACCAAATTCGGGGGATCTTTTCAGCTCAAGGAACCCTCGCGAACGCGAATCGAGTGTACGTCTCAAGGCCCTCTTTCGAATGAGACCACCCCCGTGTGGATAGCCCCCGGGGTTCGGGAGTTACAGGTGGTTAAATTCGCGGTCTGGCGCCGACCGATCTAGCGATCCCGGGGGGCTACCAATGCGCGGAGGGTGGCGTTCGAGAGGGCTCCTTGAGCTGAAGGGATCCCCCGAATTTGGTGGAGATACGCCGGCGCGTTCGCGAGATTAAGTAAGGAGGTTTCTTGTTCAGGCAGCAGCATTCATGCGTTGTCTTATTCGACCGTAAGTGTATGTATATACTGTATTCTATATATAGCACCAGTCAAATGTTTGGACACATGAATGGGAAAGTGTCCAAACTTTTGACTGGTACTGTACTATAATATACAAAAAGAATATCGGCCGATATATTGGTTTCGGCCTTTTTTTTACTCCCTAATATCGGTATCGTTTATCAAAAACTTCCAAATTTTTTGATAAACATTTTGCTTAAAAAAAACTTTTGTTAGAAACAGAATGGGTGAAATGATTTTGTTCAAATTATGAAATTACATTTTTACTAGCTGGGTAATCTTGCAATATAAAAAGACAACCCTATCATGTCCATCAGTTGGAGGGTAAAAGATACATCAGCTGAGAACAGTACATTTTGTTGAAATATGCTAAGAATATGTAAATGATGTATCCACTAACTGTCTCAGAGAAAGCATTATCCCACAGTACAGTTGCTGTAGCGTTATTATCTTGACTCCCATGAACAATGACCACAACAGGCAGGGATAATGTCTGCACAAGAGAGAGAAACAAAAAGGGACAAATTTATGAATGATACAAAGGCGCATAATAAAATTCAACAAATAAGAATAACTTTGACAGAATTTCTGTTTTCGTTTTACCTTCACGTGAAACACAAGTTCATTGCCTCCCACACTGAACTGAGACTCAAACAGAACCGTAAACTTCTCTTCAGTCACTGACTCGGCCCCGCGGCGGTCTGACCGCTTAATACGCTTCAGAGACTGTAAACAAGAGGGAAATAAGTCATTATTATTAAAATATATATAAAACAACAGTTTTGATTAATCAAATCCCAAAACATCCACTCCATCAAATAACAGCAGGCAAAATATGTAATGTTTATAATCTTTAGGCCTTATTAACAAATTTCTGCAGAATGACTCAATTTGTTCATGATTTTTTTTCTCATGCTCGTGTTTCATGTAGTTAGTCATGTAATATTACTAACAGTATAAAAGTTAATCTTATGTTTACTTCATAAAAACTGGTTTCAAAGTAAAAAGTCACGTGTACCACAGCCTTAAAGGGGGACATTTATAGAATTATACTAAAAGGCCTTTTACTTGCTAAAAAGTATGAACTATCAGACGACAGAATGCATGTAGTAGATTGTGTATAACAGGTTTCTCAGCAAAGTTTTGATCAAGCTGATATTTTAGAGGCCTCTGAAATTTTCGAATCAAATATGATACAGAAAGGTTTATAGGGTTTATAGGGTTAACAGCATTTTGAGGTGCATGCAAACACACACAATGTGTAATGTGAAGCCTTTAAGCACAGGTTACCATGGTCCTGAAGTGTGCACTCAGGGTGCCAGTGGTTTGGTGGTACTCCATCACACAGTTGTTGTTTAGAATCTCTCCACTGCTGTCACTTCAGTGAAAAGAGAGGACAAACAGTCATGTCACTTTTTATTGTCATTCAAAAACATGCACGCATTCAGAAACAAAACAGTGTTTCTCTACAGGTCTTGGTGGTGACATCCATAAAACCATTTCAAAACAGTAAGTACACAGGACATTGCACGACAAGTAACAGTATACATAGTATACATGGTACGCATATAACGGTGACAATGATATACAGAGCTGTAATTTTATGCCGCCAATCTATCATGAGTACCTCTTTGTGTTTTCAGGCCCCCAAAATGCCGTTGTCATGTGAATGAGCAGCCAAAACGCACAAAAAGTTTTCAGTTTTTAGTCCGTCATGTAAACGTCCCCTTAATTTAGTTGCCAAATTGTCTGGTGAGTGAAAAAGTTCATTTCATTTCATTTCAGCCCCTAATTTCAATGAAAATTATATCTAAATCTATTCTCAGTGAAGTGTGCATTGATTTGAAGAGTCAGACATGTCATTGCACTCACTGCTGACTGGTTCAATATCTGTTTGCAATCTGAAAGAGAACAACTTCTGCTACGGAGGTTAGTTACTACAACCAGGGATGCACATAAGTGGTGCACATGCGCAACTGCTCATTTGCAAACCGACATGGCTGCCAGCTGTTAATACACAATTACCATTTTAGATTGACTAACTGTAATACTATATAAGATTTCCATTCAAACTGAAAGCATAAATCTTGGCTAAGTGCTGCCAGAATGCAAAACTGTGACATTTCATTCGCTGATAAGCTTCACTCAGCAGTGCTAAAACAGGCAATGCATATAATTACTTGCCGGCAACCCAGAAGTAGAACCAGACTGAAAAACTTATGTGCATCCGTGATTATGACCATGAACATCGGTAAAAGCAGACCCGCTTTTGTAGTACCTAAAACCCATGGTTGGCAAAAAATAATCTAAAACTTTCCTGGCTAGCCACCTAAACTGGTTTTAAGGCACAGGTCCCTGATGTTACACAATAAAGCAGCTAAATCTAAATGCTAAATCTATTCCATGTTGAGTTTTAGTCAAAGCCATATGAGGCCATTATGTCAGTTGCTTGGTTTTAATTTCTGTAGTTAAACAAAAATTAGTTGCTGCTGAAAAGTGTATCATTTTATTTGAGTAGGACAGTGTAAGGGTCTGTCTGAATGCAGTTAAGTGTTTTGTAACCTTACTTGCGGGTGTTTTCGTTCTTCAGTAAGGCCTTGGCCTGCTGTTCGCTGATGATGGTGGCCTTAACCTGTGGAGGGTTCATGTGGACATTGAGTTTTCCTCCGACCAGCAAGCGAACTGTTGCCGAAAATTTGGTTTGAGTCTTCAGCACTTGAGGAGGCTGTTTCTCAATTATAAATGTGCTGCAAAGAGACCAGAAGCAAAGACACCACTGAAAACCTTGCTTCACTGAAAGAGAGACAATAGTGACAATTGATGGCAGTGACTGAGTACACACCTGGTGACGAGTGCTGATATGATGTCTGTGACAGTAGCGTTGAGGTCAGTAAGCAGTTCTTCTGTGGGTCCGGGAATGGGCAGCTGCTGTGTCAGGTGTTCAACTCGGCGAATCTGCTGTCTGTTTTGCCAAATCATATCGGCCAACTTCTCACACCTGCATTCACAAAACAAGAACATAAAATACTGTATCACCAACGTGTTCAAAGCAAGTTGCACTGTGTATGCGAGGTAGTGGACACAGAGCAACTTGCATATAACATTTACATGTTATATTTCCTATCATGTAAATATTTATATGAACATAAATAGATCCAACAACTGAGATATAAACTGAACAAATTTCACAGACATTTCATGAACAGAAATGGTTTGTGAAATTAAATATTTATTAAACAATAAAAGATTTATTTAAATGATATAAATGTGTATTTACTGAATGCTGATGGTAAACAAGAAAGTATTATAATGTTTGCCTTTTTATTATATAAAACAATCATTTTAATACTTTATTGTATACCTTTTAATTCCTTTAACAATTCTATTTGATTTTCCCATAGGAAGGAAAAATCAAAAGTGAGATCTCTTTAACAACTCAAATATTTCTCCTAGACAGAAATTAGTTTACTTTAAGATCGAATGGAGATTTTTGCTGGAGTCTCCTGCTTCTTAAACTTGTCTCCTGAGACAAAAACTCTAACAATCTCACATTTGTCTCTTTTAAAGCTTTAGAAGAGATCCCAACAACATCACACACCGTGCTCAGATTTTTCTCCTTAATTAAAGACTCTGGTGGTCTCACATTTGTCTCCTCCAAAGTTTCAAACAAGATCTCAACAGCATTGCACACTGTGCTCAGATTTTTCTCCTTTGCTAGAGACTCTGGATCTCTCACATTTGTCTCCTCCAAAGTTTAGATTATAGATCTCAACAACATCTCACACTGTGCTTAGAATTTTCTCTTTAGCTAAAAAATCTGGGGGTCTCATATTTGTCTCCTGTAATGCTTTAAAAGAGATCTCAACAACTTTACAAAGTGTGCATCAAGTCAAGTACTTGAAAAGCACTAAATAAAGGGGGGAAATCATAAATTCAGAGTTAAAGGCTATATTGAGAGAGAAATTATGCAGAAATTAGTATAATGTTACTTTTTAAGGGACAATGTTTATGTACTTAGTCACATAATTTGTTGTTAGAAATAGTAATGTAACGGATGCCTTGATCAAAACTTATCTATAGAAAATGTAACCCTGGAGCTTTCTTTGCTGAAAGGCACATACAGTGGGGGAAAAAAGTATTTAGTCAGCCACCAACTGTGCAAGTTCTCCCACTTAAAAAGATCTCTCATCTTTTTAAGTGGGAGAACTTGCACAATTGGTGCCTGACTAAATACTTTTTTGCCCCACTGTACATGGCTTATTACTCAGTCTTGATTATTAATTGACTTAGTAAAGTTATTGAGATCACTTCTGAAATTTAGAGGAGACAAATGTGAGAGCTCTCGAGTCTTTAGTGTAGGAGAAAAATCTGAGCACACTGTGTAATGTTGTTGAGATCTTTTCTAAACGTTTGAGGAGACAAATGTGAGAGATCCAGAGTCTACCTAATGAGAAAAATCTGAGCACAGTGTGTGATGTTGTTGAGATCTCTTCTAAGGCTTTAAAAGAGACAAATGAGAGAGCTCCAGTGTCTCTATGGAGAAATATCTGAGCACAGTATGTAAAGTTGTTGAGATCTCTTCTAAAGCTTTAAAGAAGACCATTGTGAGAGTGTTAGTGTTTTTGTCTCAGGAGACAAGTTTGAGAAGCAGGAGACTCAAGCAAAAGTTTCCATTCAGTCTTAAGGTAACCTCATTTCTGTAGGAGAAATATTTGAAATGGTAAAGAGATCTCTTTTTTATTTAATTTTTCTTCCCTCTGGTTAGCTTCAATGTCATTTATCTACACCATTTCAATCAAAGACAATACATGCATTGTCATATTTGAAGTTGTTTTATGTAGACAGTGTTTTATTGCACAGTGATTAAACAGAGGAAACCATAACCTATATTTACATACATGCAAAATGGGCTGTACAAGACAAAATGTTAATACTAAACAAAGCAAAAAAAAAAAAAAAAACACTGGTACACTAATGTTACATTTGTTTAAAAAAAAGGTATTGCTCTTTTACTAAGCATCTTGCACTTGTAAGTCCTTTCTAGCGTGTTTGAAAAATGTGGTGTATACAATGCTGGACATTGAAGATAAATTTAAACAGTTAAACTAGCAATATTAGTAATAGTAATATTGATATTCTGAAATGTTTAATGCTATTTAAAACTGAAGATATCTTAAGACAAAGCTGATATCTCAATGAGACATATTAGAGAATCACCCATAACCTATATTTACATACATGCAAAATGGGCTGTACAAGACAAAATGTTAATACTAAACAAAGCAAAAAAAAAAAACACTGGTACACTAATGTTACATTTGTTTAAAAAAAAGGTATTGCTCTTTTACTAAGCATCTTGCACTTGTAAGTCCTTTCTAGCGTGTTTGAAAAATGTGGTGTATACAATGCTGGACATTGAAGATAAATTTAAACAGTTAAACTAGCAATATTAGTAATAGTAATATTGATATTCTGAAATGTTTAATGCTATTTAAAACTGAAGATATCTTAAGACAAAGCTGATATCTCAATGAGACATATTAGAGAATCACCCCTTAGTATCCTGAGCGTAGAGTAATCTCTGTCAGAGCCATAGCCTTGTGGGCAGCACATCGACGTGAAGGCACAACTGCACCTCAGACAACATAGGTTCGAAATCCCAGCTAAAGGTACTTTCCTGCTCCTGTTCAATTCTCACCTATCCAATTGTTTCCTGTTTCTACTCCTACTGTACTGACAAATAAAGGTGAAAAACCCCATTACAATAAAAAGCAACAGCAATCTCTGAGCAGTAAAACATTTTTATAATGGAGTCTTGCAAGAGATTACAGCAAGACAAATAAGAGATCTCCCATGTTTCTCACACATTTCTCTCCAATTGTCATTTTGGATTCCTTTCTTTCAGAACTTTCTCATTTCTCAGTTGTGTCTACTTTTATTTCTCCTAAGGATTTTTAGGATAAACATGTGAGACACTGTTGAGACTAAAATGAGAAATACATGAGAATCACAACTAAGTCTCCTGAGATTAGAAAGAGCAACCACTGAGCAATAAAATATTCCTATAATGGATTCTTGATAGAGTTTGCAGCAAGACAATAAAAAGATATTCTGTTTCTTCCACCACATTCACTGTTTTGACTCTTTTTTTCTCAAATATTTCTCATGTCTCATTTGTGTCTACTACCATTTTTCCTAAGGAATTTTAGGAGAAACATCCGAAATGCTGTTGATACTAAAATGAGATATATATGAGAATCTCATCTAAGTCTCCTGAGCTTAGGAAAAGCAACCACTGAGCAATACATTTTTCCTATGGGATTAGACAGACTTCTATCCGTATCAGACAGAACTGTTAAACAGTGACAGCAAACGATGACTAGAGAGAATGTGAACACTGTGTGCTCAGGCACTGCCGTTCTCAGCACCGTCAAAATAAAAGTCTGGCGCGCTGTCTAAATAAAAGTACCGCCTCAAACACATCGGTCAAACAGAAAAACATATCGGCCGACACCGATATTTAAAGGGGTCATATGATGCAATTTAAAGTTTTCCTTTCTCTTTGGAGTGTTACAAGCTGTTTGTGAATAGATAAGATCCCTAAAGTTGCAAAGACTAAAGTCTCAAACCCAAAGAGATATTCTTTATAAAAGTTAAGACTCGTCCACCCCCTCCTAAAACACCTCGTTTAAACACGCCCCCACATGTCTATGTCACTGTGTGGGAAGATTTGCATAACACCGCCCAAATGTTCACGAAAGAAAGAAGGCGTAAGTTTGATTCTCGCTGTAGTATTGTTGCCTCTGCCACCGCGATGTCGTGGAGATGCTGTGTTTCGTGTGAAAGTGAAACTACTTTGTTTGGATACCCAAATATTCATATGTGTGCAGCGCATTTTACAGAGGACTGTTTCCTGGACCTGGGAGAGTAGCCTACAATGCCGTCTGTGCACAAAGGCTGTTTCTATAAAGTGGGGCAATTCCAACTTTGCAAGGACAGTCTGACTCTTCTGACTCACAGCCTGTAAGTACATTTTCATATTTAAAGAATTTGCCACTGACGATTCAAATGCGGGTTTTGAGCAGTGTAGAGTAGCACTTGTTGTTTGTCATTTCTCCGATCACAAATGCAGACTTGGTTTTATGTTTACGCGGCGCTATATGCAACGCAACGCGTAAAAAGACAGTATAAGTCATTATAATCCGTAATTGTCCCCACTGGATGCAACAAATGCCTCGTTTATAATGGGTTTTATTGTTTTTGTCTCGTCGCGCCGGGACACGGCATCACAGTATAGCAAGGGGTGTAACATTTCCGTCACACGCTTGAGGTATTCGGCCAATCACAACTCACTGGATAGCTGGCCAATCAGAGCATACCTCCCTTTTCAGACCGATGAGCTTTGTAAAAATCTACGCGTTTCAGAAAGGCGGGGCATAGAGGAGCAAAAATAATGTGCAGTATGTGTAAAATAATGTGTTTAAAACCTTAAACCATAAACACATTGCATTACACCAAATACACAAAATAATGTTATTTTTAGCAATGTCATATGACCCCTTTAAAAAAAAATTTACGATATATCTTGGCGATATATCGTCGACCACTATTTTAAACATTTAGTGTCGTAAAGCGATAGTTCACTCAAAAATGAAAATTACCCCATGATTTACCCACCCTCAAGGCATCCTAGGTGTATATGACTTTCTTCGAGACAAATCCAATCGGGGTGTTAACGGAAGCTACTGTTTATAAAGTTTTAAATATGGATAATTTTCTTACAAAAACATCTTGATTCACTTCAGGAGGCCTTTATTAACCCCCCAGAGTCATGAGGAGCACTTTTTATGATGGATGGATGCGCTTTTTTGGACTTTTTTTGGACTATTGAAAAATAACACCCATTCACTGCTATTATAAAGCTTGGAAGAGCCAGGACATTTTTTAATATAACTTCGATTGAATTTGTCTGAAAGAAGATACCGTGCCGTGCCGTACTGAGCCGTACCGACCCGAGTCGTACCACGCAGTGGAAAAGCGCCATTACATTCAGGTGCAATTTTTCTTTTTTTTCAGAAAAAATATGGCAATTAATATTGACTTACACTTTGATAACAAATGTCTCTATATGTCAACAGTTGGTAGAAAACATTTAAGCTGCCTTTGTTTATGGTGTGAAACAGGCCTCAGGGTTTGTGTCAGGGTAAGTCATAATAATTTGCTTATAAAAAGAAAGTCTATGGTACTCCCTCAGGCCCTGTAAACACGTGTAAGTGTGTGTATATTGTGCATCAGTACCAGGCTTGCAGTATGTCCAGTCCTCCCTCTGATGGTCCTCCATTGCCTGTGAGTTGCTGTCGTCTCTTCCACTGAATCAGTTCATCATCTACGATCACAGTTTGCTGTTTCCTCAACAGAGCTAGAGTCCTCTGATGCTTCTCTGCCAGTTCCTATACACAAACACACATTATGTTTTTCAACCAATCGATATGATGGAGAATATTGCTTCTGCTTCTGAAAACAAACAAAATATTTGTTACTGATTTTATACTGTTGTAAGCAAAAAAAAAAACATACATGCGTATATGCGTATCATATGGATTCAGTGTACCTGTCTGTATTTCTGTAAGGTGTTGGCCTCTCGTGTGAGCCAGGCCTCTAGTGTTGACTTCCTGCTCTGCAGACCTGATTCTCTCTGAACACGCTCAGCTGGAGGAATGCTGGCCAAACTACTCAACTGAGCTATTCGACAAAGAGAAAACTTCCAATTAATCATTTAAAAATACAGTTCAATGACACATTACTCAAAAGCATTTCCTGTGTAGCTTTGTTTTTTTCACATTTTTGCTATTTATATCAGAACAACTCACTCGGCTTGAGTTCAACATGTTTAAAACTTGACTTGGTTTGATTCGACTGTTTCAAAAGATGATTTGTTCACACAATGGACATCGCTAAGCACATCAGACCAGGCAATACTGTCCCATTTGTCCAGTTTTGTCCAATCTTGCTCCTGGAGAAGCTATTTTCCAGCAGAGTTCATCTCCAACAGACCGGTCTAGAAATTTCTAGTAACCCTGAAGACTCTGTTATCAGGGTTGCAGTTAAACTTTGCAGAAGGGTGAACCTCAAAAAGCAAGAATGGTCACTCTTAGGAGTCTTTTTTCAATCTCAAAAGTTATGGGTTTGAATCAGTCTGACCATTTTTTCACATAATCAGTCAGGTGTGTGTTTCCCAAAACTTCCATTAGTACCTCATAAGTCGTCGTAAGTACTAAAACAGTTCAATTACTTAGCGTTAACCAAACTAAGAAGCCAATGAACATTCACGGCATCTCAATGTTGTGTGGTTGATGCCATGTTTGTAAAAGCATTAGAAATTATAATGCGCTGGCTGAATGAACACATATAGCCTGAAGGAGTAAAGTATACAGCAATTACATACTGCATGTAAACGTTTAAAAAATTAATGGTTTTCTTTTGTTTCTGTGTAAATGAACTATAATAACCTTACAGTATTTGCAATCTTGAATGAACTAATTAGTAGAAGTTCTTACTCCCCCACCTGTGTGACATCATTAACGACAGTCCCACATTGTTGAACCAACGTTGTTCAAACAACGGTTGTGCGAACATGTTACTACGGTTTTGGTAAACAGTTGTGTGTTGCTAGTTAATTTGCATTGTACTATGGTAGTTAGGTTAAGTTAAGTTAAGTTACGTCATTGTACAGGAAACAAACTCCAGAGAGGCTACTGAATCAACAAATGACTCACTTACTGAACTACAAGTTCCATGTCAATTCATCATTACTTTAATATAGCAATAAGGCAGCTTTTACTAATTATTCGTGCGAGTAGATTACATACAAAGTCAATGCAAAGACGCTAATAGACGCGGAATGCGCGACGCGTTTGCCGCGAACGCGAGATATTCGCTTCAATCGCGTCTTTCGCTTGAGCGGAAAATTTGCCTAACGCGTTCTCGCGCAAGCCAATCAGCTAAGCTTATTGGCATGTCCAGTTGAATCAGACAATAGAAGAGAGCATTATTGCAGACGTCTGTTATTATATAGGTCTGGAGCATAGAAAACAATTAAAATCAATTGTAGTGGTAGTTGTATTTTATTAGCATGGCTACAGAGATGCTGCTATCAATAATACAAATAATAGTAATATCAGTGTATATATACACAGTAGTAAAATGTAACACACACATTAATACAGGATCCTAACGTTATTCATCCTCCTCTGGATGGTGCTGTGAACCCAGACACGTCGGCATTTGGCTTTCCATTGTATTTGGGACTTTTTGAAAATAGGTACAAAACAGCGAGGTACAAAACAGTGATTGTAGTTGATTGTTGTTGATTGTTTTTATTCGCGCGAGTGACACGAAAAACATCCCGCGAGTAATCTAGAGCGAGT